CCTTTTCTCACGAAGCCATTCACGCCCACACCGATCTCGCACCTAATTTCGTACCTTTGAGCTTCCGTATCGGACCCGCCTGTTGCGCCCGATTCGCGAGTCACGAGCGATCGATCCGCCAAGCCGATCGGCGTCGGTGTCGGACAATAAATCAACCACCAGCCAGAGATTTGCTCGAGCATGGCCAATAAACACGCCCGGCTAATGATTTATCGCGACGGTGTATCCGACATGCATGTGCACTATCCTCGATCGATGTATTCGCGAGATCGTTCTTCGATCTTTCCCTCTCTTTCTTTTGCGTGGACATGGCTGTTTTGGGCCTTGCCCAAAATCCATCGATCACAAATACCGAAATGCATACGTGGACGATAATAAAATAATCGCGAGAAACACGAGTCTAATAAAATGAGATTCGTATTTGAATTCCAGAATAAAAAAAAAGTTAACTAAAAATTTCCAGCTCATTAAGCGTTGTTTTAAATTTTTTATCTCTCCATATTCTGAATTAAAATTTTATTTAAAAACCAGTATTTTTGTGAGCATAGTGCAACAAAAACGTTGTTACATAATTTTAATCCATATAGCATTTCTATAGTAATTTTTTCTCACGGATATATTTAATAACTTGTATTAAATGAAGCTTAACTACTGGTGATCCGAAGCGGCTCTGTTCAAACATAACAATGTGGGCACGGATGATTCACTTTTACGCAAAGCAAAGGGTTAACGCCTTAATTGTCTCCTCGGAACTGTCAATTAAACAAATGCTTTTAGACTCCGCAACATGCAAAGTCACTTTCCCCATTATTCGAGATTTTTTGTGCACGACTGAAAATTTCATTTGCCTCCACCATTCCCGTTTGTGAAAAGTTAATTAGACACCGCGTTGAAAATGCGAAATAGAGTACATTTCTCTTTTCGCAGTCGAAACATTCTCTCGTAGACGTCCGCGGAGCTGGTAGGGCTCCGACAAATGGCGGCTTGAAATGCTTAAACAGAGATTAAAACGGCGTTTATATGCATCTGTGGCGCGAACGGATCGCGCTTTCTTTCACGTAATGAGTCCGCTTGAGTCATGCTCGGGCATTCGTGTATATCCGCCACTCGCCATCTGGGCCTCCTTTATCGCGGGCGTCACGACCGGGCCCCCGGACTTTTACGCGCGAGCGTATTTACGAGCGAGCTTGAGCCCGACCGAGGAGACTACGTGTCGAACGAGATTCCGGGTATTAAGTTGTTGCGAGAGCGAGATGTCGACGTCGACGACGACGACGACGCGAGCGATCGATCGATCTCGTCGAGGGCGAAACCCCGACGTCTCGCCAGGCGAAACGTGTCCCGCCGTGTCGATTCTCAGCTACGAGAATGTTCCGCTTCGTTTCGGGACACTCGCGGAGTATAACCATTCCGAAAAATATGTATATTATGTATGTAAATATGTATATTAAATATGTATTCACGAATATTCACGAATATTCACGAAATGTATGTTGCGTTATTCTTATTATCTGATTCACTGTTAGAATCGACTTAATACATGTGAATCGCATGTAATATAAAATTGCAGATTTTATAATGCTAGATATGTTACAGAGATATGTCACTCGTGATATTTAATCGTGATACATTATCCTCCGGTATTTAATCTATTTGCAGCATTGCGAGCGATCGATTAAATCGCTGGGAAATAGAATTCCGATCGCGCTCCTCGATATTTTATTTATTGAAACACAAAAGTCTTCTGATGTAATAATATAATTGCTATATTATTGATTGCGGCAAAGTTCAACCTGCGACAAATATCCGTATCCGAGACAATTTTAATTAAAAGTCCGTAATCCGTATGCAATTAAATGCGGAATTAAGCGGACGTTACGCGGTAAATTAATCGGTTTAATTGTTAAAACAAAGTTTATATTACGACGCTATATAAATTTTCGCTCTCGACTACGTACGACGACAAAAATGCGGATCTTGTACGAACAATTTACTGGCGGCAGTAAATATGATGATTATAACGCAGCGATGAAAGGCTTTATGCGGTCGGCGGAGTACATTTTGCAAAGCGAAAAGCACCGTTGGAGTGTCGTCTCGTATTATGATTCATTAAATCCGACTGATGGTAATCCCTGTTTGTATCGCACCCGAGACTTTTTTTCTGCTCTGCGTCAACGTTTATCCCAACTTCGATCAATTTAAAATATCTATTCTCTGCTCTTTAAAATTTAATTTACATTAACGTTCTACGTATAATCAATAATAATCGTGAATCGAAATAAGTGAAATTTAATAAACTCGTGTACTTTAATCAAACACACACGCGCGCGCGCG